ATAGATGGATTGAGTTTCATCTGGAGTTCTAGTTCTATCATGGAGAACATAAACTGGCCCTGTGCTGAATATAGTTTATTTTCCCCTCCAAATCAGTTCATCACCATCTGCATCCTATTTTGGCCTCAAAAGCTGGCCTATAGGAAATTCATCAGCAGGTCCCTCTGTCCTTTTGCTTATAGCTGATTGCAGCCATTTTGAGGGCAAAGGGAGTGTGGGTTGGTATTTATCTCTCCAGTTCTCTGTCTGCCATACTTATAAGTTGTCAGGCTTTCCTAAGGGGAGAGGCACCATTCATCTAAGGCAGATCACTCCATAAAGTCACCCCCTTGAGGCTGGCACCAGGCATGGTGAGAACTCTTCTTACTCAGAGTATTTCAATCTCTTGCTGATTTTCTTAAACTCTGCTGACACCTTTACAAATTATTTCAAAAAAGGTGGTGTGCATATGTGCACCAACTGACTAATGCCAAGAATCAAAAGAAAAGAGTTTCATAGACTGAACTTCTTTGTAACTTTTCACTAACATACATTACCCTTATAGTAACCCTAGAGCAACCAAAGCAGGAACTAGCCCATTGTTTCCACTTGCGACATTAGCATTATATACGTTACTATCTCCAATAACTAAAATTACACACTATTCCAAAACACAGTTCCACTAAGACGACATTTCTGGAAATCACTGGACAATGATACCCATTACCAAAGCATAATTATTTCTAGATTTCCCATTGCTGTATGTTTTAATTCACAAAATAGTCTGGTTCATTTATGCTGCCGAACCTTATGATACTTAGACATCTTTATCTCTTTGGTGTAATTCAGATTCATTGGATGGTAAAGCACTTACTGAACTGAAATCAGGATTCAAGATCAAAAATATCTTTGAAATATAGGATTAAGAACATTTATACATTATTATTACTGGGATTCCCAGAGCCAAGAGTGCATTGTACTACTTACCGTGCATTGTTAATCTCCAAGAGAAGCCACACTGCTATGCAACGCTTTCCAAATATATGTGATCACAGAAATTTTATTGTTTTTACAAAATACCTATTAACACCTCTTGCAAAATGAAGATTTGGCAGAACTCTGTTAGAGAAATAGCACACGAGGGAGTAATGGTTCTCAGTGGTCCACATCTCAGCCCCCACCTGGGCTGTCAGCAATTTGATGCCAGAGACTGTATCTTTGCTGTCACTTTATACCTTGCAGTTCCTTCTATACAAAGAAAATCCACTTGTGACTCTCTATCACAGCCTGCACTCACTCATTCTTAGCATTTCACGCTCTACAATATTATTTGTGTGCACTGATTTATTGTAGTCCATGTCCCCCTGCTAGGCATATGTAAGCACCACACAGGTAGAGATGTCTATTTTGCACACTGCTGTCTACCTAGCATTAGAGGAGTGCCTGGCATTCAGTAAACATTTGAAATAATGAAGAACTCCCGTGGAAGATGTGGTTAATATTTTGTCAGTTCGGTATAATTCAATATGTGTGTGTGTAGACTGACTCAATCAAACTACCAGAGAGTCTATTAGTCCCAGAACGGAAAAATTCTGTTTGTGTGGAAATATGCAGGTTGCACTATCATATTAACGAAGCTTTATTTTTTGGGTTTGACTACATTTACAAACAAAGATATTTTAATTATTTATCACATTCATTATACTACATATAATCTTTTTAGAGAAAGCAGAGTGGAGGAAAAACATCAATAAACTGAATGCATCATTGCTACTATTTCCTCTGTAACCTGGGTCATTATACATTGTTCATACACGCCTCACATATACTGGTGACAAGGTTGATTAAAAGATGCTATATCAAAGGATATGAGGCTTAGAAGCAGAGAAGAAGTGTGTATTAATATTAGTTTTTCTTTTTAATCGGTCTCTATTGGGTAATTCTTGGTGAAGATATTCACAGTAACAATTGGCTAGGTTGGATGATGTAGCAGAAAAGAAGGATGTTAGGTATGTTATACAGCATGCACACGGCAGTATTTCACAGCAAACAGCCGTCCTGGAGGCAAGTAGGTACTGATTCAACTGAGCAATAAAGCAAATCTCATACGTTAGCCACCAACCCTCTAACAAGCCATGCCTGCCATGAACTGTGGGAGAGAAATGTGCTCATGCTTCTAAACTAATTATTCTAACCAGGGCTTTGATTCAGTATGCTCAAAACAGAGAAGACTGGGCAGGGAATTTCCCATTCAAGAAAGAATGTTGATCAGTATGAATCTGATGCTTATCTTTAAGAATATGATTATATATCACATGTAATGACACAATAAAATATATTCTACTCTAAGAAACTTAAATATATGAAGTTTCTGAAAGAAGTTTTTTAATTCTGTTTAATCATCTTGTATCTTTCCTCTTTTCACTCCGTTTTTCAACCCTTGAAAATGGGAATACTACAATATTTAATGTTTAATGCTATGAAAATAACTGAAGGAAATAATATGTGTATTAGTCAGTGTTCTCCAGGGAAATAGAATCAATTCATAATGAGACCTGGACTATCCAATGGTGGAGGCTGAGAATTTGCAACAGCTGTTATCTGCACACTGAAGAACCAGGAAAGCTCATGGTATAATCAGTCTGTGTCCAAAGGCCTGAGAACCTGGGGAGCTAATGGTCTAGGCCATAAAGCACAAAGACCGAGACGCCGAAGCTGCAATGCCTACAGTTAGGAACAGATGGATCTCCCAGCACAAAAAGGGAGAATTCACTTTTCCTTCATCATTTTGTTCAATTTGGGCCCACAACAGATTAGACAGTGCCTTCCTACACTAGTGAAGATGAATCTTTTCTTAATCCACTGATTCAACCTTGTTCATAAGCACCCTCACAGACTCACCCAGAAATAATGTTTTCCAGCTATTTGGGCCTCCCTTTCCCGGGTTAAGGTGATACCTGACATTAACCATCACACTTGTAAATCCCAGAACATTTTTTCTATACAAGTACTTCAGTGAAAATGATCAATGTTGCTATGTCAAGCATTTCACATAGGTAATGAAAGCCTAAGAAGCCAAATGTCCCCATTGACCACCTTAGTAATTTTTAAATGATTTTAATGGTTGAATGGTAAAGAAAAGAACTTCTGAATAATGCAGACAGACTCTGAGGAGTGGTGAATCATGACAGAAACACCATAACCCAACCAAGAGGGAAATCTAGTGACTTGCAGCATCATTTGTCCCTTGAAGAGATAGCTTCTTGGAAATTTGGACTTGGCTTTCTTTTCTGGTCTTATTGAGCTGATCAGGGACAGTCCTTGAGTGGCTTTATGTTGTGTATCCATTTGAAAATGAGAGATACCCCTACTGGCCAGAACTGGGAGCAGATCTATGCTGTAATCAATGCTACTGCAGAAGGTTGAGACCAGGAAAGTGGTACTGAAAAGGGAACATCTCATCCAGTTGGACACAAAATGAATCAATCAGTAGAAGAGAACGAGAATGTACAAAAGATAAATGTAACCGTTTTTTCAGCTTCTTTGCCTTCTATCATGTTGAAGAAACAAGGCGGACCTAATGTAATTTCTCTGCCTGGAGAAACCTGATCATGGTTTACACTCTCTGCATTTTTTTGTGTCTAACTTAGCTGATCAGAGATATGTGATCAACTTAGTGCTACAGCTATGCCTCAAAAGCTATGTCTCTCCCACACCACTGAAGTAGACCTCCAACATAATTACATATTTCTTACAATTAAAAATCAAGATCAATAAATTTGTGATTAAAATTTAGAACTTACTAAAATAAGGCACCATGATTCATTTTCAAAAACAATGTCACTGAATTGTAAATGAACACATTATAAAATATGTTATAGATAAGTAAAGCCTTGAGAAAACATTTGGGTTATAAAGGGACTATTTTCATGTCCAAATGTCTCCATTGACCATATGTGTATCTTTAAAATTAATTTTACTGGTTTAATGGTAAATTTACCAGTTGGATGGGCTCAATAGCCCATTTGAGTTTTCTATAGGCTGACACAAACTGTATGAATTCTGTTTGAGAAATCTGGTTTGTCAGATGGTAGCATGTGTCCCCTCCCCCCAATCCATTTAAATGCCAATTGAACAAGGCTGTTGTCCACACGTATTGTGACCATTAAGTTAGCTGCACAAGATTATATATTCTTAATAAATTTTGACATTTAAAAATGAATTTCTATTTTTAAGATATTCCAAAAAAGTTAAAAGTTTTGTAGCTCACTCCCTTTTCATAACACTGAAACAAATGTGAATTATTTTACAAGCAGAGAAAAAAAAAGTGGGTCAAGCTGTAATAGGCATCCTGGTACTTAGCTAAGGATTTCAGATGCCCTGGTTCTTGACAGACTGTATTTTTTGGTCTAAGATTTGGTTTTTCTTGACCTCAAATATTTTCTCTACAGACACTTACAGGCAATGGATTTGAAAGTGCATTGTCCCAAGAGGAAATTCTCTTCCAAGAGCAATAGTTCAAAGATATGTGTATAGTTTTGTAAGTGTCCATATTAACATTTTAGCTTAAAAGGAATACAATGATTCACAAACCATTGATATCATCTCAGCATGTTTCTAAAATTACATATGACCTATACCCTCATAAAAGCTAATAAGAATTTGTTTAATTACTACCAAAAAAAGGTATCCTGCTGGAATCAACAACGTTTGGGAAATTATGACTAATTTGTTAAGAATCAATTCAAAAACATTTTAGCCCTCTGTTAATATTAATAATTTATGCCTACAATTTCACAACCCCTGTAACCAGGCTACTATTATTTGTTAAAAAAAAAAATATATATATATATATATATATATCTTGAAAAATTATAGAATATATATATATATATATATATCCCTTGAAAAATTATAGAAACTAAGAGCCACTATACGTATGTACCTATCCTTTCACTTTATGTGTGAACCTGCGTTTACGGAACATTCAGACACTAATGGAATAGATTTCACTTACTTCCAAACCAAGGGGGTTCAAATTCTTCTTCCAAGTAAAGGAGCCCTCTGATCTCCATCAAGTTTTGTGATTGCACTTGGAAACATCCAGTGAGCTGCAGGAAACCAAATGGTATTGTCACGATGGTTGGTCCTGCTCAGCACGAAGAAAGAGGGATAGAAAAGCCATGGACAGCACAGTGCTCTGTAACATTTGAAAACATATTGTTGATCTTCTCTCCATCATTCTCCAACCTACAGATCTTTATTCTTACCACTCTTTGTATGGCTCTTACACTTTCATGCTATAGCAAATGCATATTCTATTCTTTTGTCCCTCTTCCCTGCCAGCTGTTTCCAAGGACTTGTTGGACGCTTCTTGGTTTTTAAGATAGCCTTGAACATGGAAGAACCTATTGAACAGGATTAAAAGGATCCTTGATACTCAAAAATGTTAGCTATAAGAGGATACTCAACTTTCTTAAATAACAATAAAAACTAATATTCGCTTAGAATTTCTTATGCACCTGGTGAGCTAAGATTCTCTTCGAACCCTCAAAATAATTTAATTGATAAAAACAATTCATGCATCCCTTTATTCATTAAAACGAATGAAGACAAGTACCTCTGACTTACCAGTATCACGCTACATGCAAGGTATGCTATGATAACCCAAAGATCCATTACAGTGCCTTTACAAAGCTCATAGAACAACAGTTTCACACATAAAGCAACAGAATTGTGACTTTAACCTTATGATATGGTTTGGCTGTATCCCCACCCAAATCTCACCTTGAATTATAGCTCCCACAATTTCTACATCTCATAGGAGGGACCCAGTGGGAGGTAAGTGAATCATGGAGGTGGGTCTTTCCCATGCTCTTCTCGTGAAAGTGAGTAAGTTTTATGAGATCTAATGGTTTTATAAACGGGAGTTCCCCTGCACATACCCTTTTCCTGCCATCATATAAGACATGACTTTGGTCCTCACTGGCTTTCTGCCATGATTGTGAGGCCTCCCCAGCCTTATGAGTCAATTAAACCTCTTGCCTTTATAAATCACCCAGTCTCAAGTATGTCTTTATTAGCAGCCTAAGAACAGGCTAATATACTTTACATCCTCTCAACCACTAAGACACATGGCCCTAACCACATATCCCATTAAGGGACATGTCCTTTTCCAGGTAAATAATTGATCAGATGTTGAAACTTCAAGCCAAAGATCCTCATTCAAAGCCCTCCAGTGGGTAGTCATAAATGTTGTTCCTCACTGTAACCTTGGGGAAAGAATTTGTTCTCTCAAAGACCCAGTTTCCCAATTCTAAAATGGCCTTGCATGATTAGGTGATCTTTGAGTCCCTTCCAGCTGTGGAACTTTTAATTTCTTGATCAAAATTGGTTCTAGATAACAGATGGGCCCAGCAAGATTTTTTAGCTCAAGCAACCTGTGAAATACGGCCTGTCTATTCACTGCTCAGGACATGGGCAAAGTAGGGTAGTTTAGCAGAATAATGGGGTCAGTGAAAAAAGAAACTCATTCTATGACACGATTTTCTTTTATAACACAATTCTGCCCTTGACACTTGGCATATATTTTGATGACCATTGTCCACTGCACCACTATATTCTCAAATGCTTAGAATCATCTGCTATTTTTAAGGTAGGGAAAGAAAGAGAGAGAGAATTAGGGGAGGGAGAGTGGTAGAGATGGGATGAGAACAGATAGGCCAAGGAGCCCATCCAGTGAATTACATAAACGCAGAAACCCAAAAATACAGAGAATGGGTAGAGACTTAGGAACCAAAGGAGGTGTCAGTAACATTAAAAGATTCCTCTTCAATCCTTTTTGTGGATGTAAGATTTCCAAGCTGGAGTATTTGGAAGATTAATATGTTATGAAAAATGCATAGACTGAATTAAGACAGACCTAGGTTTGGGGCCAAGCTATATGACATTAAAATTCAGATTTAAGTGAGCCTCCATTTTATTATCTAGAAAATGGGAATAATAATACCCATTTGAAATTTAAATATACAATGTATATAAAGACAATGGCATTCAGAGCCATTCACAAATGAGGTTCCCAGCTGCTTTTTGCTTAGAAAACTGCAAATCAAAGAGATTAAGTCATCTTCCCAAGATCCCCCACCTAGTGTAGAGTCAACTTACTAGAAAAAAAGGAAAAACAATGGCTTTCTACCTTCCTACTACTCTTTTTCCTTTCTTTTACTTCTCAAATTGAGATTCTTTTCTCACTGTAGAAAGCCAAGAGTGTTAAAGGTACTAATCTAAACCTTGTACTAAACAATGAGTTTATTCAAAACTTTATCCACTACTATTGCTACCTCACATACTTGCATTTATATTCCTTGAATCTGTTTGGTGTTCTTCATGAAGTTTGAAACAATGGCATATAGGAGCAAGTAATGTATTAACCAACTCGGTCTCACTTGGCACTATCATTTCTTTAAATTTTTTTACAAATGCTTTATGACATTACTAAGGGTCAAATGTTTTAACCTAATATCTTTATGAACTTGTTCACATTCATGACTTACAGTATAACTTCTATTATTCATAGGGTATATTTCTATAGCACATATCTGAAAAACCCTAACCAAGCATACTATCTATGCATAGAGCCAAACACTCTATTTCTGTCGGATAGAGTAAACTTATGTGTTATAAGGCTAACCTTTATGAAAAGAGATTTTTTTCTGGATTTGGATTTATTACTGGAGCTTCCCTGTATCACAAGTCTGTCCTGTTACACAAATAAATACAGAAACCACTAAAAATAGATGTCATTAACTCACAAACCCCAAACTAACAAGCACACTTACACACACTTTGCCTTCTTACCATGAAATCAATATTGTATCCTGATATAACAGGGATTTTCCCACCCATGATCTCCATGTCATCACCCTTCGTTAGCTTCGGTCCCTGGCTTGGCATTTATAGCTTCTCTCTCTAGTATAATCAATGTGATTTCTCTCCATTGTCTTCTTTCTCGTCACCTCTAGACACACAGACGTCTCCCATCTTAGAAAATCTTTCCATGTTCCCCCATCCAGCTACTGTCTTATCTCCATCCTCTCCTTCAGAGCCAACTACCTTGAAATATATTTTTATATTTTCCATTTTATTTTTTCTACTTCATATGTACTCTTCAATTCACATCTCTCTTACTTCTCTCCCTACCACTTTCCAAAGCATTTGCCTGTGTCCACTTTCGATAAATCTATTAGAGGCTTTTACTCTTTATGTGACCTCACAGCAGGATTTTTTTCACTAATGGCTGCTTCCACTGTTTCTGAAATATTCTCTTTTCTATCACTTTTAAGTCATCATAACCTATGATTGTTGCTGCTGTCATTTGTAATAGTATTAGTAGTAATAGCAATAGCATATGATGACTTCTGAACCCCCTTTCTTTTTTTTGAGATGGAGTTTCACTCTGTTACCAAGGCTGGAGTGCAGTGGCGTGATCCTGGCTCACTGCAAATTCTATTCTCAGGTTCAAGGGATTCTCCTGCCTCAGTCTTCCAAGTAGCTGGAATTACAGGTGCCTGCCATCATGCCTGGCTAATGTTTTTTGTATTTTTTTTTTAAGTAAAGACAGGGTTTTACCATGTCAGTCAGGTTGATTGTATTTCTGTCATGCATTTTTAATTCACTTATTAATCTCTATCCCCACTGTCTCCTAGCTCAGTACACTACCATCTATTGCCTTGACATATTCACCAGTCTCTTAACTGAACTTAGACTTTAGTCTCATTCCTTCTAAAACATAAATCCAACTATATCACTATCCTACTTAAAATTAGCAATGCTCACAGGCTCAAGTCCAGACTCCACAACATGTCCATCTCCCTATCACTAAGTCTTAGCCTATCTCCTTTGCATTCTTTGAATTTTAGTTTAGATGTCACTTTTCAAGGTCTGGATCAAGTTCTTTCCCATATGCACCCACAGCATCTCAGTTCCTACATTTGCTCTGTGGCATGGACCACTGCAATTGTCAGTTTGCCTGTTTATAACCTTTTTCAGAAACCAAGATTCAGAAGGTTGGAGCTGGTCTATCTTACTTTTGCCATGTCTTCAGCCTTCATCTCAGAAGTGAGCATGAAGTTCTCTTCACCAAAATTTCTGCTATATTGACCCTCCTCCCAAGGAAGCAATTTTTCCTTTGTTGCAACTACCCAAGCTTATCACCTTAACCACACTTAACCCCAACACACTGCTTGTCTTGTCAACACTGTACTCCCTTCTCTGTGTCTGGGGCCCTTTGCTAATCTAAACTGTTTTTTTGTTTGTTTGTTTGTTTGTTTGTTTGTTTGTTTGTTTGTTTTTTTGAGATAGGTCTTGTTCTCTCACCCGGGCTGGAGTTCAGTGGCACAATTATAACTCCCTGCAACCTCAAAGTACTGGTCTCAAGCTATCCGCCCACCTCAGACTTCATAGTACCTGGGACTACAGACACATGCCACCATGTTCTAATAATTTGGGAGATGTTTTTAATAGAGGAGGGGTCTCAAAATGTTGTCCAGAATGGTCTTGGGCTCCTGCCCTCAACTGATCCTCCCAGCTCTGCTTCCCAAATAGTTGGGATTACAGGCATGAGCCACCACACCCAGCTTCAGCTTGAACTCATTCTTTTGGATACAAATATTGGAACACAATATGTAGAACTGTGGTAGGAGAGAAGCACACAGGCATTTACTCTCCCCTACGTGTTCTTTTCTTTCGATGTTTACCTATGATTTTCTATCTCTAGTTCCAGTGGAGTTTTTTTGTTTTGTATTTTTGTTTTTTTTCAGTTCTTAGAAAAGTCCACCTATTTTGTCCAGATGTACTTAACAATAGATCTTTTCTTGAGACTTCAATAACCACATCTTCAAGAAAAATCCCAACTCTAAAACTTTTTTCTGGGTTCTGTATCTCAACTCCGAACTCTTTTCTAAGCTCTAGATCTGCATCTTCATTTGCCTGTTAAGTATGTTCACTCAGATTTCATAACAATCTTAAATTCAGAATGCTCCAAATAAACTCAAATTTTTCTAAACAAACCAGCACTCTGCACCATGTCCTTCTAACTCCCTGCCTTCTATGT